GAGTAGAGACCTGCCTGCTTCTGTGGAGTCCAGCATCCTGCACAGCCACTTCTGGCAGCCCCAAGCTTGAGTGAGCCAGGAGTGCTTGTGGAGCTTCCCCTGTCTTCAGTCAGCCTGAGAGAGCAGTGTCATTGAATGAGTGCCCCCTTCCTCACCTGGTTCCCTTGGGTGTCCCAAGTGGCACCACACTCCAGCCCTCCTTGGACTCTGTAGGTGACTCAGGAGTCTGGGTCCCCAGAGAACTGGAGCTGTCAGCATGTGACCTAGTGTGGAAGGGGTGTGTGTAGGTGGTAGGGGCACCACTGAACCTACCAGATCCACCCCTTCATGGGCATATGATGAAGCACAAGTCCTGGCACTCTGTGTTGGGTGAGCAGATATCTCAGACTCTTGTGAATCTGGCCTGTTATTCTCAAGACTGGGCAGTGAAAAGCACAGGTTGGGTAGGGGTGGAAATGGCAACATGATGCATGCTTCTTCTCTGGCAACAGTAACTTGTTGACCACACAGTGATCCTCTCACTAATGCAAGTCTAGGTTCCTTTTTATTCTCTGTCCTGCTTATCACTTATTACCTTGGATCCATGCACCCATCCCACTGTGCTGGTGAGGAAAGATTTTGGAAGGCAGAAGTAGTGCACATGAGCTCAGGTTGGAAAGCTGGGGATTACTAGTTTCCTCTGTAAGCCTGTGGTAGGACAGTTCAGTGTGTGCCTTGCCGTATTATCAATGCCAAGCATTCAGGAACTGAAACTCAGGCCCCCAGCCAAAAATCATGAGATTAGCCTAACAATAGTGACATTTTATAAATGTCTCGTTGGGAATTCCCATTGCCTTCTAGTTTCTGAGCTCTTCTCTATGAGCCCAAAGGCTCAACATTTACATCCTTATTGAATGAAGCCTGAAGTCTGGATGTAATCATAGATTTTATATTTCATAGACATTAGGGCTGGAAGTGACCTCAGAAGGTCGAGTCCAGCCCCCTGCCCCAGGGGCAGGAAGTCAGCAGGGATCATAGGATCCCAGCAAGATAAACATCCATATTTCTCTTGAAGGTGTTCAAAGTAGGTGTTAGACTGCCACCGGAGGCGGTTCAATTCCAAACCTTGGGGGCTCGGACTGTAAAGAAGTTCTTCCTTATGTCCAACCTGAAACAGTCATGGAGGAGTTTGTCACATGAGTCCAAGAGCTGGGGCTTTAAGAAGAACACTACCTGTTCTGAGAGTTATGGTATGTTTGTGAGTTGGTAATTCTGGCTTGTTTGAAGAGAGTAAGATCACTTCAGCTCCTTTAGGTTGTATGCTCACAGTAAAGTCGCATCACTTGGAACATGGTGGGACATGGGGTTCTGTGTTAGTGTGGACCAGGCTGCAGCCTGGAAGCTCCCATATCATGCTCCTTGATTAAAGCAAATCCTTCCATTTGCAGGGCCAGATCATGGGGTACAGGCACAGCTGTGGGGAGAGAGCTGCTCTTGGTGGAGCAAGCAGCCTGTATGTACCTCCAGCTGTCCCTGCCCTCTGCCAGTAGGTGACTCACACCCTGAAAACAGCAAGGCCTGAGCAGTTCTGGTATTGTGTATGACGCTTATGTGGGCTGCCCAAGGGAAGGTCCTCACTCCCTGACTCCTAATCTGGCCTTTCTGTACAAGTTTAATCAGTATCTGATGCTCAGTTTCCTGCTGTGACATGTAGCATCTACATTCCAGCAAGGTGGCACCATCTGTACCCTTCCTGGAGACGGGCTGAGCACATGCACTCTATTTAACACCCCTCAGGACACAGGGCTATGTGGCCTCCTTACAGAAGTATACCCCATTGTTTGTTTCTCTTCCCATCATGGTTGCTGCTTACTGTTCAGTCCCCAAGTCCACCATTGTCCAGCTGTGCTGTGACACTGACAGGTTCAAGAGACATGTTAACTTTAGCTTGAAGAGTATTAATCCTGAGTTGTGTCAGTAACTACCTGGGGAAAGACGCTGATCTTCTGAGTGCTGTCTCTGCTCCAGATTGATAGTGCCCTGGAGGGAGATTAAATTGATCCCATAAGAAAAGTAACAGTTCTGAAGAGCACCATCCCAACAGTCTTAAAAACTCAGGATATAATTACAGGGAGCTCCTAATGGTTCATGCTACTCTGCATGGATGTTGGAGTCTGCCTCTCCCCTTGCCTGGCACCAGAGTGGCTTACACCGGAGACAACAGGGTATAAAACACTTCCTTTCTTATCTGGGAGCCCTTTGCAGTCAGAGCCATGCACAGATGTAAATGGCAATGTAAGCTGTAAAGCTTGGTTGATTCAGGCTTACTTGCTGCTGCTGGGTGTATTCCACCATGTGCTGAGGCTGAGGGCATGTCTACATGGCACAGTGCAGTGCCATATAGAGATACTGGATCTAGCTAATTCAGTGCCTTAGCATACTGCTTTGCTTGGGCTAAAGTACACTGCTTCTCACTCAGAGCTAGCTCAGCTCCTCTGCATGGCACTGTGGTGTACTGCATACCCTGTGCTGATGAGGGGGTTGACAGGATGCCTGATTCTGGCTTATGCGGCCATTAAAGGCTGGTCTACCAGTGCCAATGTGAGGGATGGGTGTTACCACCGGGCAAAACCTAGTGCAGCCTTGAAGCTGCTTTAAATTGTGTGTTGGGTCTGAACTGATGCTTAGCAGCTCTGTGATCAGAAAGCTGTACAATTGTATAGCACCTACACCTGACTTGCCCTTATGTCAAAGAACCAGTTCTGAGGATCCAGGCCAAAGGCTGAGCCTGCAACTCGATGGCTCAGTGCAGTGCTGGGTGGATCTCGCTGAGCTCAGGCTGGGAATGCAGATCCTGGCCCCAGTGTGTTGATTTTAATTATTATCTTTATCTTTCGGCAAACACTGCTATGTTTAGACTGAGCACACAGAGCTGACTCACTGGAGGGCAAGGTGCACCAATTCAGGCTGTCAGGTGCCTCGATGGTGATGGCCGAGCCATTCCGCCTCCCTCTTCAAGTAATGTTTGCACTGCCAAGGCTCTATAAATAGTGACTCTGCTTTCTTATGATTTGGCTGCAGCATCCTTGCCACAGCTGGAACCCACTTCAACACACACGTGGATCTGAGGACGCTGCGGGCAGTGCGTGTGCTCAGACCTCTGAAGCTCGTCTCAGGCATTCCCAGTAAGTCTCATCTCCTCGTCCCTTGCCAGGTCTATTTATGTTCATTCTTTGTGCCTTTCAGGCTTGGAAAAACCCTTATATGATCACTCGGGATGGAGAGAGTGAAGTCATAGCCACATTGAAGTCACTGGTGAAAATCCACTGACTTCAAGGGCTAAGTACAGACAGTCTAAAAGCCGGAGGCTGAATTGATTTAGTCTTTGCAGATTAGTCTAAGATGCAGAGATTAAACTGAGAAACAACTGGACACATTTACTTTTGATTGAGAAGATGCAGTCACATGCCTGCAGTGGCTCAGGCCTGAAGCTGGGGGGTGCTAGAGCATGGCTCTCTGGCGTGTAGCCAGCATGGACTGTGTGTTCGCTTCCTCTTCCTGCTGCTCCTGAGGTTTCTGGGATTTGCAGTCCACAATTACAGCAGCAAGACTCTGCAGGGTTGCTCATCACTTCTTCTTCCTGCTTCCAAGTGCCTCTGGGATTTGTAGTCCACAGTTGCATCCAGCAGTAAGTTTCAGTAAGTTAGGCAGCAGGGAAGCTCTGTACTCGGGGGAAGGGGTGTTTAACTCCCTCCCTGGCCCCAGACCCCAGACCCCAGCTGGGATTTGCCTGGGGAGGCAGTCCTGCCTCCCCCCTTCCCCGCAGCCAAACCCTTCTCTGCTGGAAGAGACAGCACAGCCCAGCCCAGGGATGGAAAGCATGCTGGGATGCTGGGGGACTCTGATTTAACTTGAACCAGGAAGGGCTCTGGGACAGAAATTTCATAAAACAGTTTGACTCAAATCAGTTAAGTCTGATACTACATTCAACCAAGAGTATCTTAAACCAGTTTCTGCCATTTTGAAACTGGTTTATGTGCACTGATCTTCTGTTCTGTTAGAGGTTTAAACCAGTATCTGATGACTTAAACCCATTTATGTGTAACTTCTGTCCCTAGCCAAGGAGACCAGAATTTAGTGTTTTCCAGGAAGAAGGAACTCAGCTCTCCCTTTTCGCTGATCTCACAGGCCCCTTTGGTAACCCAGGAGGAAGCATGACTAACTCTTGGGTGAAAAGATTTTGCAGGCCATTGATGGTTTTTCCTCCTTCACAGCCAGTGGAAGGGCCAATTATTCTCTGGTGGATCAAGGTTGGAAATCTTAAGAACTGACTGAACCCAGAGATTTTTGTTCAGCTGCCATGCAGAAGGCAATGGGTGGTTGGATCCTTCCGGGCCTGAAGTTTTTTCTGGGGAGATTTCATTTTCACTTTCATCTACATGATGGGGATATATAAAGAAGTCGGTCTACTTGCTACTCTTAATCCCTTCTTCTTCCGGACACCCAGTATACAGCATTTTGCATGAACCAGTAAATTGGTAGACTGGGTCATGCTGGGACTGTGGGTGAAGGAGTGCATAAGCCTTTTCATTCTGGAGAGAGACCAGAGGGGAGGATGAAATTTGTTCACCAGCAGGGTATCCCAAGAGGACATCATGTCCTTTGGCTTAGTGGTCACTGGGATTTGGTCATAGCATATGGAGCCTTCTGTCTCCAGGGTGTGACTCCCAAATCATTTACTGTCTGACCACTGTTTGGTGGTCTCTGGGAGAGGAGTCTGTGGCTGCTGTCTGATTTCTAGTGCACAGTGTCCATGTTACAGAAGCCGTCCTCTGGATTGAGACAGAACTCCCTATCTTACTGGCCTAGGTGATGCTCCCAGAGTAGCCAGGTGAGGGCCTCTTTGCAAAGAAACAATAGATAAAAGAGCTTGCCCTTCATGTTCCCGATGTGTCCTATCTCTGCCTGACATTTCACACCAGTAGTAAATCCACTCTTTAAAAAATAATTAGGCATCAAGCAAGCAGTCGCAATGTGGCTTAGTCCCAGCTCTGGAAATGCCCTAATTGAAAGATTAGGTCAGGAGTGAAGTGCTGAGGCTGAGTTGTATAAAGAAAGCATACACTGTACTACTGTGCCCACATCAGTCCTGCCCCACCTATCAGTGCCTCTCTTGCACCATGAAGTTCAGATGGGGAAAATTCTTAAGAACTGTCCTCCTCTGTCAAGTTACTTAGAAAAACTGCTTGTGCTCCCAATAGCTTTTCGTACATCATTATCCAAAGTAAGTATCTGCACAGCATGTTTGGAGAGCAAAAACCATGAAAGTTATCAGACAAGACATGTATTACATAGGTTGTGCACCTAGCTCCTGGGTGTGCACACAGGCCTGCCTTTGGATGCACAAACTAAATAATTTTGCATGGAGGCATGGAGCTATATATGCACTGCCTTGATTTTTTTTGTGCCTAAAATGTTCATGGGTGTGTAAGCATATGTTATTGCTTGTGAAGTGGATACAGAGCAATTTTGCATCTGCTGCTCCGAGCCTTCGAAATGTGGTCCCACCTGCTCACCTTGCAATTTCCACACAGTCCTAAAACACAGAGGAGAGGGTGCTGTTATTTTATCATGGTAGCTTTTCAAGCCCCTAGCTCAGATCAGGGCCCCATGGTACAATGTTCTGCATGATGCCTGGTAAGAGACTGCCTGTCCCGAGGAGTTTTCAATCTGAATAGACTAAACAGTCAAAGGGTGAGGGGAAACTAAAGACAAAACCCAGTGAGATGACTTGTCCATGGTGATGAACAAGTTGGCGGTGAAGCCAGACACAGAACCGAGATCTCCTACATCTGGTGCGCTTTCCATGGACTATGCTGCTTCCCTAAGGGTACAGCTTTCCTCTCTGCCCCGATGGTGGATCTCTGCAGTTAGAGAATGATGGCTGAGAGAAAGCTCTGTTCAAATTTCAGACTTTTTGTCAAGGACTCCTTCACTGTGTGCTTTGGCCTGTGTCTTCATGTGTTTGGGTGGATGTTGATCCTTTGTCATCTCTAAGGTTCATCCTGTTCTTGCTAAGAGACCCTCTTGAGGGAAGAAGGACTATAGTCGTTTGTTAGGCCTGGTGGTGGGGACTGTCCATGAGCTGTGTTCTCTTTCCTCTCATTTAGGTTTACAGATCGTGTTGAAGTCCATCATGAAGGCCATGGTACCTCTTCTCCAGATAGGCTTGCTGCTCTTTTTTGCTATTCTGATGTTTGCCATCATTGGCCTGGAGTTCTACAGTGGGAAGCTGCACCGGGCTTGCTACGCAAATAATTCAGGTAGGGAAGTAGTCTTCTTTCTCCTTTTTTGTGCTGTTCTTTATATCATGCAAGTAAGGTACAGCAGGACGAGTTGAGGATAAAAGGGCTTGTTTGTCTTCATATGGAGCTAGGTGAATATGATGAGCCCACTTTGGGAACCCCAGCCTTTCTGGTTCAGGTTGTCGTACTTGACATAAGTAGTGCAGTGGGTTGATGTTTGTGCATTAACACTGACACTGTAGACATCAACACAGCTGTCATTTTATAAAGCCAATGACTGAGAAAATCCTGAACCACTGTTCCTGAAGGACACAGTATAGAGAAATGCCACTTCACAGCAGTACTGGCTGAAACCTAAGGCCATCTGTCTTACAGCTTTCTTCTTGTCATCTCTGATGTATCCTAGACAGAGGTGCAACACATCTGGAGCTTAGGGTTCATCAACTGGCTTTTCTTCTCTACTGAATGTTAAACTCTGTCATTTTCTTCATGGACTTTGTTGTCAATTGGGGAGGGTGCCAGGAGCACTGGGAAAATGGGGACATTTTCATGGAATCATTTCCTATTTTCTGACCAGCTTTCTTATGGAGATGGAGAGATGGATTGATTTATTAGCGATTTCAACCAGGGATAACCTCCCTCTTAGACAGTGAATGGATTTAGCAGGCAGAGGAGTAAATACAGACTCTAATAAGTCGCTTCTAGTTCTGTTTCTCTGGGCTGGCATTATTTAACAGAATGAAACTCAGATAAGAGCAATGCCATTCAAATTATTCTTTTGTACTCAGTTCTATGCTTTCTACCTACTGAGCTCTGAGCATCCCTTGTATAGCCCCCAGAGGATTGTTTCTAGGGCATAAAACCTCTGGATCTTTTGTTCTTCCTGGGGAGCTACATTTTGTAGACTCCTAGCTTTCAAGGGGCCCAAAGACTTTGACAGATATTCATGCTCTCCAAGCCCCAGTAACTGACAATCTGAGCATTCTTTATCAATAAATCCATCAATCAATCAAAAAACAAAAAAGGTAGATGCCAGAAACCGGGGGTAGTTATCTTCTGGCATCTAATAGAAGTTGATCTCATTTAAAAAGAGGAGGGTTCCTGTTTCTCAGGCTCAGTAGAGCCAACCATAAATCGGGATTTAGCCTGCAAAAATCAGTTTAAGGTCATGAGACTTAAAATACTAATGGAAGTGAGGTCTGCCTTTGCATTTCCTTTTGGGTCTTTTGGATGCACTCTTGAGAACCAGAAGGACCAGAAGCCTGTTCTGTTAACAAATAAAAGATGAGATCCTCATTGTCCTCAGAGGAACACCCCATATATCACAGGTCTTGCATCTAAGTAGCCAGAGCTGGTAACATTTCAGTACAGAGAAGAAATGCTGCCACCTTTTTAGAAAATTATTGTCTGTTAATGAAGGTGCCCGCCATGTGCTGGATAGTTTCCAGACAGGCAGGAAAGGAGCGGGAAGCTTCCAGTCCAAGGAGAGTCAGGCAGAAAGAGAAGTTGAATGAGAGGTGGATGTGCTTCAACATAACTGGCCATCCCTGCTCAGGAGGAGACAAACCCAGGAAATTGGGCTTTGTTGCAGGTCAAGAATGAGGTGTACTGAGTGTGTCATTTGCACTCTGGGGCAGCATTCACTGGGAGGGCTTCAGGCTGAGAATGAGATGCATTGACAGAGTACTGGGGTCAGCAAGAGAAAGCAATAAACCCTGGTTGGGCTGGAACATCAGGGCATTGCAGGTTATGCAAATTCCAGAGAACCTAAGTAACCGTTGCACAGGAGAGCATCACTGCAGCAGGAGGCAATTCCCCCCTAACCTTCCTTTGGATATTGGAGCTTGTGCCTGTCTACCTCACCTCAGTGCCTCCTTTATTTCTGTGATTGCAGGTGAACTAGAAGAGCTGGACCCTCCTCATCCCTGTGGAGTGCAGGGGTGCCCCCCGGGTTATGAATGTAAGGAGTGGATTGGTCCCAACGATGGGATCACTCAGTTTGACAACATCCTCTTTGCTGTGTTGACCGTCTTCCAGTGCATTACCATGGAAGGGTGGACCACAGTGCTGTACAATGTGAGTAAGGCCTGCAGTGGTACATTGGGGATCTCTGGCACTCCATGGGGCAAGGAAGCAGAGATGGGGCCCATTTTCTGAACAAAGCATGCAGGTGTGGGGAAGTCACTGCTCCAGGGTCTTCCATTGGAGCTAATGATGGAGATGAAGCTGCTACTTAACAGCTGGATAGAAAGTGCTGAGGGAGGACAGGTATCTACTTTATGTCTACAGCCTGGGCTCTGCCCTGGTATCTAATGCACATCTGAGAACCCTGGAAAGGAGGGAAATCTAATTATTTAGAGGAACATGTGACACCTTGCCCTTATCCCTGAGCTGGATTTGTGTTATGTCATGGACAGGTTAAGTGCCGCAGGCCTGCCAAGGGCTTGGCTTCTGAAAAGGTGGAAAAGATCAGCTCTCTCCACATTGCTCACACACTCCTGTTTGCAACCAGTGCACCATGAGCATGCTCCAGGGCACTCTTTTTCCCAGTGTAAGTGGAAGAGATGTCCAAGTCACCCCTATGCAAAACTTCACCAGACATTAACATGCCACCCTAGGACTGTAGACGTGATCTGCTGAGCTCTGAAATGGCTGCAGCTCAGTAATACATGAAGTCTCCTCAGAGAGGGATGATACATGCATTTCTGCATGTTGCTTTGTTTGAAACTATATGAGAGGGTTGTGTGTTGATGGCACAGAGGGTTTTCATGCCACATGGCTGGTTTTGGATTCATGGATGAAGTTTCTTGAGTGTTGTGGTTTTTACTTTTGTTTGCAAAGGAGCTAGGATTGTTGTTCTGTATCCTGGCAGTGTCCTAAATGGCACAGGGACCCATGTGTGTTGTGGGGCTGAGATGGGACAGGGAACGGGATAGAGACCATGAGAAGAGGGCAATTTGTACAGGCGGGGATGTGTGGTCAAATCCATCCCCAGTGTAATGTCTATTGTCTTCAATGGTGCCACACCCTTAATGTCCTGCAGTGTCTGGAACATACAGTGATGTGTAGCTTGGCATCTCTCACAGGGAGATCTGTGAGTGACCAGCTACACTGAACGGAGAGCAGGATGCAGTTTGCAGTTTGTGGCTTGGATGATGTGCCAAAAAGTTCTTCATGTGAATGTTTACTTATGTGAGCAGAGTCACTAATCTAATCATAGGACAGCAAAAGACAAAGTTCTGCTTGCCTCACCTTTACCATTGTCTTCACCCTGGGCTCTTCTTAGGGGGCATGAATAGCTCAGCAAGCCAAAAGGGATCAGTGAGTGACACTTAAACAACTAGGAAACCAGGGGGACAGTTTAGAAAAATAGGCAGATCCACCAGGGGACTTTGGTCTTCCTCCTGCTAAAGAAGATGGCTTGTGTCTGGCATTCTCTGCCCTGGAGAGGAGTGGCAGAACTGTGTTGTGGAATTAAAGATTAACATTTCTTAGTTTAGAAATGAGAGTAGAAACTTCTCTCCAGTGACTGCTGCCCATGGATACCTAGACATGCTGCCAAGGAGATTGTCTTCCACAGAACGCTTCTGGTGTAATTCCCCTTACCTCTGAAGCATTTAAACAGCGGTTATCCATTAGGTTGCCATTCAGTTATATCCCATGAAATGTCCAGCAATAGGAGGTGAAGGGCCAGATGGGCTGATTGTCTTAGTCATTCTCATCTCCTGTTCACACGTGCGCATGTACGCTCATCTCCTGTGCTCACATATTCTCTCTCTGTCTCTCACACACGCACACATGTGAGGGAGTGAGCTAATGTATAGATCAGATACACATGCTCCTCCTACACTCTGCTTGATCTGGGTAGGAAATACACCTCTCTGTCTCTGAGCCTATTGTTCACCTCAGAATACTGGGGCTGGGAACATTTGGGGCTGCAGCCCACCTCCATCCCCCTGCCTGCCTCACTAGCTTTCACACTCTGTAATCTTGTTTTCTTCTCAGGGCCTCGCTCTTTTTTTTAAATGCGTTTACATTTGCAGTGTCTCTCGCTGCCTTTGGCAGTTTGATTCTCACATTCATGACTTCCTCTCTGTGTATGGCAAGTGCTTCTTTTGCTTGCCTCTAATGCCCTGTCCTTTCTTGTCTCCTCCTGGTCTGAAAGCTGGCCATCTGTATGACCCCATGGGACTTCAACCTGCTGTGTTTCCTGCCCACTTAGGATTTTGTCCAGTTCTGTCCTCTCAGAAAGTGGGCTCTAACCCTGTGGCCACTATTTCAAGCAGGTCTCCTAGTGCTTTTAGGAGAGCTGCCTTTGTGAGCTCTTCCTGAGCCCAATGGACAGGTGTCCATTGGGAATGATGGACTAGGGGAGGCCAGCCTTTGGAATTGGACTATGGGCAAATAAACACAACTAGCTAATGAAGCCTTTCCCAATCAGGCAACATGCAAAGTGTCTTTCAGGAGACTTACAGGCCCTGGTCTATGGGCTCCAAATACTGCTGGTCACCCAGTTACAGGGAACTGGGATGTTTCATCCCTAAGACTTGTTGATTTGGCTTTAAAAAGCATGCAAAATTTACCTTGATTTCTCAGACATCTTCATATTAGATATCAGGCTAGATATTGAATTGCATGAGGCTGCATTCCCCAGTTCCTGTCAAAGCAGAACCCCCACATGAACAGAGAATACTGGACTGCATTGGTAACTGTGAACCCACCAAACCCAGGAAGAGTAGCTATGCACAGACAACATCCTCCATCCATCACCATTACCACTATCCAGAAACAACTTTACAGAATATTTGCAAAGCTCAAAACCAAAGAATCCAGTCTTCAAAATCTAAATAACCCTATGCTCTGTGAAAGCCCCAGGCAGCAAGTTTACTCTGTGGCTCAGGCCCATCCATACTCAGAAAACATTTAATTAAGGTTCAGGCTTGGGTTGAGTTCTGGGGCTAGTGCTTATTCCTGACGGCTCCACAGCACCGGTGGGATTTCAGAGATGCTCCATTCCTGGTTAATCTCTTAATCTTGAACTGTGGAATCAGGGTGTATGTCATGGTGATGTCTTAAATCACCATAGTAATAGATGACAGAGCAGGTGTGTATAAAAATTATGAAAGTTTCTGGTTTTTGTTGGAACTTAGACATGCATTTACATCCCCGTGCAAAGGCTATTACCAGCTCTTGTTTGGCCAATGGGTTTTAGTCACCAGAGAGAAAGGGCAGTTCTGCACTGTCAGAGTCCATGCTGTATGGCAGTGGTGCTCCACCTTTTGACCCTGTGGGCCAAATGAGTGACATGGGGCTGGTCTGTGAGCTAGATCAGACCCTACATCTCAATGTTGGGCTTGTACTCCCAGATCCGGACTACGCTGCCCTCACTTAGCTCCACAAGTCAGAATTGGAGCCCCAGGACCTCACACCCTTCCATGTGGCCCTGTATGCCAGGATTGGGATTATGGGACCCTGTGCTACCTTCATCTAGCCCAGTATGCTGCAGTTGGAGTCCCAGGACCCTGTACCATCTCCATCCAGTCTTGTGTATGGAGATTGGGGTCCCAGAGTCCCATGCCACCTCTGCATACTGGGATCAGGCCCCAGGATCCTGTACTGCTTCAGTTCAGCCTAGTGCCCCAAGATCAGGACCTGTGTCACCCTGCACACTGGATCTAGCACACAGGGCTATGGCCCATGGGTCTTCCCAGGGACAGGGAGACACACAGCCCAGATGACAAGGTGCTGAGGGCCAGACCAGGCCTGTGGGTTAGGGGTTAAGCACCCCTGCTCTATGGGGAGTCCCATTGAGCCCTGCAGCACCGACTCAGGTCCCTTTTTAGCAGGACCACCACAAACTGGCCCCAGTTACAGGTGCCTTTCTACTTCACCTCTGATTGGCCATCATAAGGTCCCCAGGAAGTACTTACCTGTTAAGGTCATGTCAGGCCAGCATTCAGAAACTTCCTTGTATTTAAGGATTTTGTTTTGTTTGCTCTTTCTTCCTTGAATCTCCATCTTACCATGGGGTCATTTTTTCTAAGACCTGTTGCCTGGGTATCTCTTTTTTTTTTTTCCTCTGGACATTCCTTCCCAATCAGAGATGCCCATCCTTCAGGTGATTTCTGACTTCTCTCAGTGACCAAAGGGGCCAATTGGAGACTTCCACCTGTCTCTGATGGTGGCTCCTGTTCTTCCTCCTCCTTTTATGTGGCAGCCAGGGTGGGTATCAAGGCTGCTCTTCCTGCTCCTTTCCAGCTACTTTCCCAGACATTCAAGCTTTTAACAGCCCCTAGAGCTCTGCAGAAAGCAGCTGGAAACAAGGAGGAAGTGTCAGCATTGCATGACCTGCCAACTCTGCACAGATTAGTTTGAGAACAATTGCATTGTACAATTGCTCTTATCTCATGGGGGATACATTACCCTCCCAAGGAAGTGGGAATGCTGCAGTCACTCCTGGCCCCTCCTTTGCCTGCAGGTCCTCTCTGTAGCCAAAATGTTGTAAATGGAAATAGAGACAACAAACACTTATTTTTGTTTTTCCTTTTTAAATAATGAAATGGAAGTAAGGAAAGTGGCAGGATGTCCTCTTTGTGTGTGTGTGTATGTGTATGTAATGGAAGGACTCTCCTTGATGGATGAGCATGATGAGATGGACTGAACTGGTGTCCTCAGCCTGGCATCAGATGTATGACCAGCTATGCCCAAAGCCATTCTAGACCATCAGCTGACCTATTCCCTGATTCCATTCTGCACCTGTAAGTTTCACTGGGTTTCGCTAGAATTTGATCATAATACATGATAGACGCAGCATTCCTGATCATGGCTGCTCTTCAGGCTAGCTATCTTTGTCACATCAACCGTGAGCTGTTGTCTGACACAGCTGGCACTGAGAAGCCTTTTCCCCTAATGCAAGGAGACATGGGATTTGATCTGTTCTCCAGGGGGGCCTTGCTTCTCCCCAGAGCATACATTCAAACACCAGGCGTTGTTGCCGATGAGGGTGATGATACCTTTAGCAGGTACTCTAGTTCCCAGAGAGGCAGGAAAATGCTTGCTTTGGACAAGCCCACCTT